TACAACAACAACAACAATAAATAGAATAAAATTGAAAAAGTGTCTGGACTTTTATTACTTTTTATTTTCTTCTTTTAGGGGGAGGGGAAGAGGGGGAGGAAATAAAGAAAAAATCAAATAAATGCCGATTTTACTGTAGATTTTCTCTCTCTCGTAGGATTGCAAATATTCGGTTAAATTCAGTTTTGTTAAAGAGCCATGTTATGTTCTTCCCAATTGCGGACATATTACACTCGTTCGCTTACAATGTAGACGAAGGAAGTGGAAAACGAGAAAAGTGGAAAATTATTTCTTTTCGTGACTTAATCGGATGATTTTCTTTGTCTTTTCTCGTTCTTCTGTTTCTCTCTCTCTCTTCTCTCTCTCTCTCTCTCTTTATATATATATATTATATATATATATATATATATATATATATATATATATATATATATATATATATATATATATATATATATATATATTATATATATATGTATGTATATATGTATGTATGTGTATGTATGTATGTATGTATGTATGTATGTATGTATGTATGTATGTATGTATGTATGTATGTATGTATGTATGTATATATATATATATATATATATATATATATATATATATATATATATATATATATATATATATATACATATATATATATTTATCTACCAATATCGCTTTTCCTCTCTCTCATTTTTATCACCATAAAAAGAAGAAGTGACGAGAGTGTTGACAGCAAAAGTCAAAAGACAAATGCAATTTTCTTAATGCATAAATCATTCAGAAGAAAAAAGAGAGTAAATACGTAGAGGATTTTGCGCCGAGGATGGATGCCGGAGCTGAAGCGTTTGAAAAGATTGATGGATAGAAAAATAAAAATCTTTTTAAAAGTAGCAAAGAAAAGGAAGAAGAGAGTGGATAAAAAAATCTTACGAAGAGAGGAAGTAGGAAGAAGAAAGAATAAATAAATGAAGCGAATGGGAAAAGAGATAAAGAAAAGAAAAACATGAAAGAGAGAAGGAGAAAGAAGGAAAAAAAAATAATAAGGGATTCTTGCCATTGGCTTCCATGTCGTTTTTTTTTTTTGTGCATCAACGAAAGTCAATAATATCAATTGAAATATACTTTAGCAAATGCAAAGTAGATAACTCATTTTCTATTTAGTGTATTGCAGACATTTTCAGAAAGACCGAATTTATATTTCATATTTTAGTGGGTGAAATAAAACAAATACATATTACTGGATCTAAATCTCATTATCATTTTTTTGAATATCAGGCAGCATACATTAGGACTGCATAATGATTGCATGCTAAAAATATTTGAAAAAAAAAATGATGGAGTTTTAGTAAAGGGTAAATGCAACAATGAATGAGCCTTTGCATTTTAAAGATTTTAGGATCTCTAATGTTTCATACACACACACACACACACACACACACATATATATATATATATATATATATATATATATATATATATATATATATATATATATATATATATATATATATATATATATATATATATATATATATATACTATATATATATATATATATATATATATGTATATGTATATATGTATATATATATATATATATTATATATATATATATATATATATATATATATATATATATATATATATATATATATATATATATATATATATATATATATATATATATATATATATATATATATATATATATATATATATATATATATATATATATATGTATATAATATATATATATATATATATATATATATATATATATATGTATATAATGTATATATATGTATGTGTGTGTGTGTGTGTGTGTGTGTGTGTGTGTGTGTGTGTGTGTGTGTGTGCATATATATATATATAATATATTATATATATATATATATATATATATATATATATATACAATGTGCGTGTGTGTGAAACATTAGAGATTCGAAAAATCTTTAAAATACAAAGGATCTTTTACTATTTGCATTTACCCTCAAGTAAAAAATCCAGCAATTTGTTGGCAAAAATCTCAGTAACGCAATCCATATGCAGTCCTAATGTAGGCTGTCTGATATTTTTAAAAAATCCGGTAATATATATATATGCTTTATTCCACCCACTGAAATGTGAGTCTTCGTGTTATAAAGCCATGTTATTCAGTCATGAAGGTTTGGGTAACACTGATTTATGGCTGATTTATGGGACATCCAATATAATGTTTTTTTTTTCATTTATTCTTTTTTTTTTCTTATTGATTTCTTTAGTCCTTTATTTACCACTTTGGCTAACTGCACAGGCGCGGGCAAGATTGGATGCAATGGATACATAATCATAGCATTATATGATAGAATTACATTACCATGATCTGTATTATATCAGTTAAATGGAAAGAATAAGTATGTAGTTTTTTATCTACTCATCTACCAAGCCGGCGTAGAGTATGGGCGTGGGAAGGCATTGTTACATTTGTTATGTGGTCATGTGATACTACATTCCAAATTGAGGATAC